CTATGGTAGACCGACAGGAGGTGGGGGGCATTTGAGGACATAGTCACTTTGTGGTGCCCCCTCCACAGAGCAGAGCTGGGTGGTTATTGGAACATGTTTCTCTCATTTAATACATTTCATTTAACATCTGTTGAAATAGCACCAGATTGGACATGCACCCATCACTGGGGCATAGGAATAGAGAAGACAAGTCCCTGCCCTATGGGTGCTGCTGGTGTAGGGCATGTTCTACAGAATTCCAAGTGCTACTCAGGCTTACGGGGGAAGAAGACAAGCAGGCAGCAGCCAGACCCTACCTCTACTTCAGCCACAGGAATTCCACTGTGTATGTACTGGGGTTCCAGGTAAATTTCCTTTGGAAGAAAAGGGAGCCCCTGCTGCTTAAAAATAAAGAAAGTGTTTTGTTCATAGGAGTTTTACTTATGAAAAATAGTTAAGTGAATAATTAATTAAATGAAAGTGTGAAGGTGTCCTGGGAACAGAAGGGGATCGAGAAGAGGGGAATTACGATTATGATTATGATACCTGAGTTTCAATTAAAATAAAAAATAAAAGCTCCACGGTTTCTTTTGTGCTTCCCCTGGCAGTCTGTGGCTGTGCATAGAGTACCCATCAGGACCCGTGCTGCTGTATTCTCTGGCATGGTCTTCCCACATCCTGTTCTTTTCTTCCACTTCCCAGATGGTTGGGAGTGGCTGGATTCCAGCTGCTGCCAAAAAACTCAGGGGTCCCATCCTAATGATACTGTAAGACCAGACCCCAGAATTGGGGTGTCCAGTGGGCTGAACTCAGTCACCATCCGGACCTCCACATTCCTGCTTTCCTTACATCCCCTGTGTGTTGCAATATGATAAAGTGCCACAAGGGGGCAGGACAGAAACATGGGGCTCCTGCCTGGGACGGCCAGGCTTCATCTGACCTTGGCCACAAGCCATACTGAGTCCACTGGAAACACTTCCTTGCAGGGCACAGTTCTTACCCACTGGAGGATTATAGTCCCTGGTGACATTGGTGATCAGTCTCCTCCTTCTTTGGGCAGAGGAGTTTATTGCAGATGTAGCAGGAACCCCAACCTCTTTAGGCACCTGCCCACCCCCCACCAGCAGCTTGACCTCTGCCACTGGCTCCTCCAGCTGCAGGAGCGGAGGCTTGGCCCTGCCTCCCCAGGATGCCCCCAGCCACATATTATGTGCTCCTTGTAGGTGAGATCACTGAGGGGACAGGATTTTGGAGCCTGAGGCCAGGGTGTATTGGTCAGGGGAAGACAAGTCAGCTCCTGTCTCCCCTCAACCCACCCATCGCAGCAGCCACCTTTCCCAATGTAGACTGGAGTCTGCCTACATGTCTGCCTTGCGTCCCCTTCCTGTTCTCCTGCTAAGAAGGGCGAGGGGGCTGAAAGAGGACAGGTCAGTCTTATTGTGCTGGAACAGGGAGAATGTCACTCCAAATCCAGATGTGCCCCTGGGGTTTAGGTGTGTGCTTGTGGTGGGGGCTGGGTGAGGGCTTCAAGCATCGACAGATTGCTGGGTCAACTCCTCAAGCTGCCCTCAATACCTTACTCCCCAACCCAAATCACATGTTAATCACCTCCCTGCTGGGGTCCTGTGCTAGGCACACAGAGTTAAGAGAGGCAGAGCAGTGACTTAGACACAGTCCCCGCCCTTGGGGAAGGGCTTCCAGAAACAAACCCCAGAGGCCCAGGCTGGGCTGTTTTGGGAAGGTGGCAGTGGAAGAGTAAGGATTCTACCTGGGCTTTGCAGGATGAGGATTCTCCAAGCTCTGGGATGGCGGGAGGCATGTTTGTCCTTTCACTGCTGAATTTCCATTGCCTGAAAAGCCTACCACAAAGTAGGCATTGCATTCATATTGGGTGAAGCGTGAAGGGAGGGGAGAAGTAAGAAGGCATTCATACAAGGGGTAAGTGGGCTGTGGGGATAGGAGTCTGACAGTTGCTTCTTGGGTAACCAACCATCCTAGTTTTGAAATAGAGTTGTGATCTGGGAAGGCCCAAAGTCTAAGCAAACCTGAATGGTTGGTCACCCCCGAGCGGCTCCTCCCCTTGGAAAAGGGCCATATATTGGGCTGTCCCAGGACCTTCCCTGTCTGGCCCTCCCTCTCTCCCCTCTTTCTTCCCTGTGCAGCAGGGTCTCCTCTCAGGTCTCCTGGGCCTAGCCCTGCCCCAGCCATGACCCCCCAGCCTGACCTCTGGGGCTGCCCACTTCCCTTTCACTCCGCCACTCCTGATAAGGAGACTAGAAACAGGTTTGCCCTTTCACCTCTGCATATCTCTCTGTAGGAGCCTGAGGGTCCTCACATCCTGGGTCACATCCTGCAAGGCCCTGAGCCTCCCTCAGGTTGCCTGCCAGCAGCCCACAGTTTTAGGTGGGAGAGAAGTGTTGGGACAAGGGACAACAAAGACCACAGCCCTTGGGAGTTGGGTCTCTTCTATCCTGGCTGAGGAGGGCCCAAGAGCCCACTGCCAGGATGTAAGAGCTAGCGGGACAGGATGGCTGAGTTGACTGACCCCTCCCTGGGATTTTGACTGACATTCTTGATGGAATTGGCCGGATGTTTCTCCTTCACAAGAGACACAGCCCCAGGCAAGACAGCTGTGCCTTCCTCAGCCTGCTGCAGCTGGAGGTGCTGGGAACCCAGAACCCACACTTCCTACTTTGGGGATAACATTGTTGGGCCAAATGGTCTCAAGCAAAGGGGTGTGGGGGCTTTTATGGGGTCCCAGAAAGGGTCAGTACGACTTGCATGGATGATCTTCTGCCCTCTGCTCTCCAGACCTCTACTCTTTGCTTGGGTCTGTGGATCCCACACAGGTGCTGTCATCTGACACTGGCAGGCAGGGTTGTGTGGACCACCTATTACTCAGAGACCACTCAGGGTCTAGCCAGGTGCTGTTAGAGGCACTGAGTCATGCCAAAACCCACTTCCATTTTAAGTCTGGGGACATAATTCTCCAAAGCTCCCCTCCCCATGAAATAGAAGTGTGATCAGATGCAGTTTTTATTCAGAAGGATTTGTTGTAATCTTTGCTGATTTGGAAGGTATTTCATGAATCCATGGTGATTTGGGATATGTCATTGGTAACAGCTTCAGTGTTTTTTTTTTTTTTTTCTTCTCCTTTGGTAAAATCCTGTCATGGCAATTATGAAGTGGCAGAGGGGACATTACCCATCTGTGGCCTGCAGGGGGCAGTGAAGGGGAAGGAGGATTTTCTCACCCTTATACCTTGGTGGTTCTGGTATGAAGATGAGGCTCAGGCTCATTTTTTGTTACTGCACCCTTTAGAATCATGTTTTTCAGACTTTAATCTCTTGAATAGAGCTCACATCTGAGTGTTGTTTGTACTATTAATATTTCTCTTTATTGTAGACACACATAAATACCTCCCCCCTCCCAACTGCCACCCCCTACCCCCACCCCCGTAGTACTGAGAATTGAACCCAAGGCCTCACATATGCTGGGCAAACACTCCACCACAGAACTAAAACCCCAGCCTTTTTTAGTTTGAGACGGGCTCAGGCTTCAAAGTTGCCCAGGCTGGCCTTGAACTTGTGATCCTTCCGCCTCACCCTCCTAAATAGATGAGATTACAGGCATATGCCATGGCACCTGGCTCCTAAACATCTTTTGAAAGAAAAATTTACATCCTTACCATAAATGTAACACTAGTAGCACTTTCCATAAACAGAGAGCAGCTATAAAAATAAATGAAATGAAAAGGTAGCAATGTTACTACATTGTAGCTAGGGTTGCCTCTAGAAGCCTCTGAATCCCAGGGTTTTTTTTTTTTTTTTTTTTTTTTTTTTCTGAAAGAGGAATGTTGGCAAGTGATAGGGGTATTCTCCTTCCCTATTTGCCATGTCTTTAGGGATCAGATACAGCTGTTGCATGAAGGGCACATTGTAATCTGGTAGGAAAGCGAATTGGAGAGGAATGACTTCCTTGCTCTGCAGTCAGGTTGCCATCTAAGGTTATGACAGGTTCTCCCCAGAAACCCTGAGTGGTTTCCTGGGCCCGTCCAGGTCTCTTTTCCTGGTCACTGGCCTGGAGGTTCCCTCTCAGCTGGTTCCTGACCATGCCTTCTCCAAATGATCTGCCATCAGACACCTGCTCTGCTGCGACTGTAGTCTTCAGCACATGGGGAGAAACTGAGGGAGTTCCTGGAGATGTGAGGAGCTGGTCTCAGACGTTGCCAGAATATTTCAGCCTCAACGAGACAATACTAGTAGGATCGTTTCCACTCTCCTCTGTGGAGCTACAGGGACATTCCCTCCATGAAGCTTGAGCACAAGCATGGTGTACAAGCTGTTTTCCGACTATCTGTCCACTCCCCTGTGTTCTGGACTGTGTGTCCAGCTGTTCCTTGTCCTGTCTCCTTGCAGGCCTTAAGGGCGTCTCAAGTTCCAGATGTCCAAACAAAGCAGAAGTCTTAACTCCACTACCAACCTGCTCTCCTACGTCCCCCACGTTGGTCCACAGGGCCTCTTTCTGTTCCTCACACTCCAGATCCAGTCTGGATGTGTCCCGGTGACTCCATCTTCCAAACATATCCAGAGTCCAGTGACTTCTGCCACCATCGGGGCGTGTGGCCCACCAACTCTTGCCTGGACCAACACAATGCCTTCAAGCTGGCCTCTCTTCATTTTCCACCCACTAAAGCAAGAGTGACTTTTTGATGTTTCATCCTATCACCCTTTGGCTTAAAATCCTCCCCTGACTTCCCATGACATGTCTGCCTGTCCTTCCTTACCTTCTACCCTCTACCTGGGGCAGTGTGTTCCCACCTTGAGGGCCCATTTCCATCAGCCTGACACTGATGTAGTGACATTGCCTCCCCAGGGCCTTTGCTCCTGTGTCCTCTGCTTGGGGCACACTCCATCTTGTCCAGCAGCTCCTTTTCGGGGGGGGGGGTCGTCCAGACCACCCTGCCATGGCCCTCCCCCACCATTCTCTAACCCCCTACCCTGCTTTATTTTCCCTTTTAGGTCTTATCACAATTGACATTGTTTATCTGAGAAAATGGTTATTTCTTCATTGCTCTGGAAGGATAATTTCACCAGATACACAATTCTAGATTGCTGGAGTTTCTTCTTTCAAACACTTCAAATGTTCACTCTCATCTTCTCGGCGTGGCATCCGAAGTGAAGGCTGAGGTTATTATTTTTTTTTTTTCTTGTTCCTCGGTAGGTAAAGTGTCCCCTCTCTGTTCTGGCTTCTTTCAAGATTTGTTCTTTGTCTCCATTTTCTGCAGTTTAAATATGATACGCCTAAGTATTTGGGATTCATCCTGCTTGGTGTACTTTGTTGACATTCTATATTCATTTGTTTATTTGTCTACTGACTATTTCCCACATGAGAAGATATATTCACGAGGAGGCGAATGCACTTTATATAGTTCCCACTGTCAGGAACAGCCTTGAAGTAGCGGCATTCAATAAATATTTGCTGAAGGATGAATGAATAATCAAATAGAGAGCTGCTGAATGGTAAGTTTATATAAGAAAGAAATCTCGTACAATGTAATTCATACCGTAAATTATTTCGCGTTTCATTTTCTGTATTTGAAGTTATTTGATCTATTTTTATATGTCAGTATAGAGTTGTCAGCTGGACTTGGTTGGAATAATATTAGCAGCAATGACTAAACACTTACTGAGTCATTACTACAGCTACTCACCGTTTGATGGGTTTCACATGTGTTAATTCATTTACTCCTAAAACAAAAACAAAACAAAACAACCACAAATCCCAACTCTTTGAAGCAAATACAATTATTGCCCTTAATTTTAGAGATGAGAAAACTGAGGCCCAGAGAAGATAAGTTACTTGTTCAGAGTCACAAAGATACCAAGAGGTAGAGCTAGAATCTGAATCCGTGAATCGAAGTCTCTAGCGCCAGGAGCTTAATCCCTGATTACTGCCTTGATTTACCTTTCCGTTGAGGTGTAAACAAAGTGTACTAACCCCGAGTGCACAGCTTAAGAAACTTTGAGTGTATTACCCCTTCCAGGCCTGCCCTAGAACCTGACCTGTGCCCCAGGCCTCTGGGTCTTTTTCAGTTTCCTGAAAAGCAGCCTTTGATCTGAGTAGGACCAGCTTTTATTTTATTCTCTCTCTTTTTAAAAGTGCTAAAAGTATCTTTCTTTTTCTTTTTTTTTCTGTTCTTTAATGCTTTTGCTTGAGCAAATGAAAAACAAAATTAAGTAAAGTTTTATGGTCTGTTAATACCAAATTTGAAAAGCAACAAGTTAGAACCCCTGACCCTGCTTGGCTCTGAGGGGCCTTCCTGAGTCTCCTACATGGAGAGAGAGGTGGAATATTTGGAAACCATCCTGTGTGCTTATCACGGCACTTCCTGTGATAACATGCCTGCTGATTGACATTGGGAAGGACCATCTTTGATGTTATCCTTTTTTTAAAAAAAGTTTCTTGGGCTGAGGATGTGGCTCAAGTGGTTAGCGTGCTCGCCTGGCATGCATGAGGCACTGGGTTTGATCCTCAGCACCACATAAAAATAAAATAAAGATATTGTGTCCACCTTAAAAATAATAATAATAATAATTATAATTATAAAAAAGTTTCTTTTTAAAGACGTTTCTTTTTTTTTAAGAAAAATGCTAATGTATCTTTGGTCAGTGGTTGATCCTCTGCAGTAGATGGTGCATCTTGCCCTTAAGAGGTTCCTGGATGCTGGCTTTCTCTGCTGATTGCTGCTGAGGTCAGATGCCCAGGCTGCCAGTCTGTGCACAGCTGTCCAGCACCTTCTGGGGCCTGAGCCTGGCTTTTTCACTGCCCCCACTTAGAGGGGAGAGAAACCCACAGAACTTTCTTTGCCCTTGAAAGCCCAGAGTGCTCTATAAGCTTGGCCATTCCATCCCAGCCTCCCAAACACACTTACACACACTCACGCTCTTCCTCATGGGCAACTGGGAGGGGCCACTGATAGTTGGAACAGAAGCATCTTAAATTCCAGTCTGAGGACCCTTCCCCACCTCCTGCCACTTGCCTCCAAGCTTCCTCCCCCATTTCTCTTCAGAATGTGCAGAACCAAGGCATGGATTAATATGGATAAGTGCAGCAGAGAAGAAGGCAGGAGGGGAATGAGGGGGAGTAGGTAGAGTACAGACACAGGGTAAGGACCTGGGGGGGGCAGAGCTGGCTGGGGAAGACACCAGCCTCTCCCCAGTTAAAGCTTTGAGGAGTCCCTCAAAGGCACCTGGCCTGGCAAAGGTAGGGTAGCCTGACTCTGATCCAGAGGGTGCTGAGGAGCAAATGTGTATAATTTGGGGAAGGAATATCAAGGGGGTCCTGTGACTCTTGACAGTGCTGCCCTTTCACCTGTACCCACTCCGTGCAGCCAAGGTGACCACCAACTCCAGGGTTCTTCAGCCTCCTGGGGAGAGGCCAAGAGGGCTGGCGCTGGGTGGAGACGGAGGGGCCAGCCCTGCATGGCCATCATTCCTTTCTGATCTCCAGCCATCTCCCCTGCTCCAGTCCTGTCTAGCGCCAACTTGGAACTTCACAGACAGACCCCGGGATCTCCAGCCTCCCTGTTCCCCTGGTGTCAGCAGCAATTTCCTGGCAGGCCTGGTGACAGGAGCCTGAGCCTGCCCAGGGGAAACCCAATGCCCTGGTGTCAACAGTGAGTGTCCCTTGGTGTCTGGGGAATGAGGCTGAGACTGTGCAGAGCTGAGCAGCCTGAGGGGGTGGGAAGACTGCCACCATCCTCCTCCATCGCTCCCCAGTTCCTTCTACACCCAGTTGAGGCTGCTGGGCCTACTCTTCCTATACCCAAGAACCTTAGCAAATACCTCTTTTCCATTTTGTAACTGGACCAAGGCTGGACAAAGTCACCTGCTCCTGGAGACAGTGCCTGGGGAGCAGTGGCCTGCTCTGGAACAGGCCAACCCCCTCCCACTACCTATGGTGTGAGAATGCTGCTTTGGGGAGGGGCAGAATGGTGTCTTACACTTCCTTCCCTCCCCTCCCTTCCCTCCCTTCCCACCTGGCTCCAACATTCAGAAAAACATCTTCACCACAGGCCCCATTGATGGCTGACTGCCATCCCTCTGCCTCTGGTTTATCTTGCTGCTGGGTTTGGGCTGGGTGCTCACCTGCTCAGTTGGCCAGAAGGCTCCCTGCGGATCTCCTCTTTTGTCCATAAGCCTCCGGGGTGGGCAGGGCCTCCCCTGTGGTCTGCCACAACTTCTTTCCTGTTGCATTAGAATATGCCTCCGTATCACAAGCTGTGCTAAATGCCGGATACCGTCTCTGCTCTCGGAGGTCCTCAGTGTGGTGGGGAGTCAGTCTGGAGAACATACGCAGTAGACTAGTATGGAGGCCATGATGGAGAAAAAGCAGACCTTGAGGTCATCTATTGACCCTGTAAAAAAATGGTCCCAAAGCTTGGGAGATTTGTCAGTAGTACAAATAAGCATGTACAAAACTAAATATAGGGGGCAGGAAAGATGGTGGGATGAGATGGACATCATTACCTTAGGTACATGTGTGACCACGCATGTGGTGTGACATTGTGTACAACCAGAGAAATGAAAAGTTTTGCGGTAATTGCGTACAATGAATCAAAATGCATTCTGCTGTCATATATACCTAATTAGAATGAATGAATGAGTAAGTAAATAAACCAAATATATTCCTTGTTTAATTGCCTCTTAACAGGCTTGGGCGCAGTAGATAAATACGAATACATGTAGTCTAAATTTAAAAGTTGTAGCACTAACATAGTCACCATTTTCCTGGATAATGCATGTGTCTCCTACCCTTGGCACCGAGCAGGGGCTGGGTCCAGGTTTGCTGTATTGAATCAGATTGACTCACAGGGGTGAGATGACTCAAGATTGGAGGGATTATTCTGAGAAACAAGACTGGTCCCCGCCTGGAGGGGTTGTGAGATGTATCTGGAGGCTTAGGACTGTGGGCAAATGGATGTTTGTTGGTTCCAGCCTGTGTCCCGATTAACATCCAGGTTGGCTGTTTTCACATGGCAGGTGGACCCTTTGCTCGGGCTAGGATTGTGGCTCAGCGGTAGAGCACTCCCCTAGCTGGACGGGACCCTAGTTCGATCCTCAGCACCACATTAAAATAAAGGCATTGTGTTAAAAAAAAAAAAGTTTAAAAAAAGGAAGAAAAAGAAGTCTTTGGCCTGGGCAGAGCTATGTGCTGGTGCTAGAGGCTGGTTTCTTTTCCTGCGCAGGCACCCTTCCTCAGCTGTGGATTGCTGCTGCTGGGACTCATCCCAGGGGTTGCTGCTAGTCCTGTCTCCTCCTTTTGCAGAAGAGGAAACTGAAGCTGAGCAATATGCTCAGGCCTGCCCAGTCATGAGGTTCTGGACCCCAACTCTCCCGGTACAAGTCTCTGCTGCCCCCAACTATAGTAAGTCCCGGGACAAGTATTTATTAAGTAATTGTAGCATGCGAAACTCTGGACTATGCCTCGGTCCAGGTAAGAATGTCCCTAAGTAAAATAACATAGCTATTTCCAAACTTGTGGATTTTATGAACCAATTAACAATTTTAATGGAAGGATGGGCCTAGGTTTGGCAATTTTTATTATGCCAAGGATAGAGTTCCTAGTTGCTACTCCTTCCTTCATCATGTTTTACAATGAAGAAGAACATTTTAAATTGGAAAAGGAATGAGGAAGAATTCACTGCTTATTTTTCTCCTTCACCTCAGATGGGCAAAAGCATCCTTATGGACCAGAACCCTTCCTTGGAATCAGAAGACTCAGATCTGCCCCAAGAAGCACCCCTCGTGCTCTGATCTTAGGTGACACAGGGCTGGCCCAACCCTTAGCCATCATCCAGCGGCCCATTTAAGAAAAAGGTGGGCCTGAGTGTTGGAATGGGGGGGCTGATCCAGGCCCTTCTCCTGGTGCCTGGCAGTGGCAACACGGCTCTGCCCTCAATGCTTAGACTCTTGTGCACTAACCTGGGGCACTGGCCAGTTTCCCTGAGCCTTGGACTCTCTTCTCACTGGCTGTGTGACCTTAAACCAGTCCCTGAACCTCTCTGGGCCCTTTCTTTGACTCACTGGGCTGTAAGGATAGACATTCATGTAGCAAGCACACAGATGTGCGGTCATATGGGCTTCTTTTTAAGAACTTGCTAAATATCTCTCAGGATTCCCAGACCACCCAGCTTCTATCCCATCACTCTGTGTTACAGAGCAGGAGACCAAGGCCTTCGACAGAGGATGTGGCCCCCAAGGTCATACGGCAAGCTGGAAGAGTGTGACACCAGGGGTCAGATTCCTGGCTCCCCCTCCAGAACCCTCCTCCCATGCTCTGTGGCCTCCAGGTCTTCACCCAACCAGAGAGCGGTCCAGGGGTGTCATCATTCTCCCAGTCTCCCACGCCACCAGGCCTTTGTTCTCTCAGGTGGATGTGGGGGTACCTCCTGACCTCCGCCACCATCTGTAGGTCTGACTCCACGGTAGCAGTTTCCCCCTCAGGTGGTGGCGTGTCGAGGCAGGAAGCCCACTCCAGGCACCATTGCTCAGGCTCTGTGTCTGCCCTGGCATAGGGAGTCTTCTTCCCACTGGTGGTGGAGACCATTCTGGACCCTCCCTCCCGGCCTTCCTACCATCTCATTCCAAAGACCAGGAGGAAGCCCCTTCTTCTCTGGAAAAATCACTCCTTGTTGGCTCTTCTAGGCTCGGAGCGGCTCCCTCAGCTTCCCATTGTCACCTCCCCTTCTGCGTCACTCCAGGACAGGGATTGTGAGCAGCCCTGGTCCCTCTCCCTCTCAAACCTGTCTCATTCCCCCTCCTTCCCATCCTTTTCATCCTCCCTCTCCCTTCCCTTGGGCCCCCGGTCCTCTGCTCAGTCTTATCTGCCCCGGGATCTGACCTGCAGATGCACTCGCTGCTCTGCATGCTCCTGACCCTGGGATGGCATCACCGCCCAGCCTGCCTGCCCCGGGGGCCAGCTCCGGCCTGTTCTCCTTCCCTTTAAAAGCCCCCATGTCTTGAAGCTGATTAAAACAAACACAGCTCATATTTTTGTTCTTAATCCAATTCTGCGCTGGGCGAGGGTCGAGGAGGGAGGATAGAATGACAGAAGCACATTCCTCACCACGCCAGGGGGAAAGCCAGAACCAGGTACCCGCCAGGAAGTCCCCAGCCACTGGGGAGGCCATGGTCCTAGTGGGGTGCTGGCAGGGGATGATGCTGGGCCCCTCCCTGGATAGGACCCAGCAACTACTCCCAGGAGGGTGAAGGGAGAGGGGGTCAGGAGTTTTCCAGGCCCTTCCTGGGGGCAGCCAGCTGGGGGTGGGGCTCCCAATAGAGGCCTTTATTCTCTCTAGTCTGGAAATGTGACGGGACCTCTTGTCTCAGTCAAGCCCTTCCCATGACATCCCCCTCAACACTTGACCTTGGAGCTCCTCAGGACACATAGCTTCAGAGTCATGCAGTGGTGCCTTCTCACCCCAGAGGCAAGGCCCACAGGCCTCTCTGAACCAGAGCCTATGCTTCTGCCCCCCTGGGCTGCCCCATGAAGGGACTGCCTGCAGCAGAGTGTGGAGGAGTAGCGAAGTCCCTCCGCGGTGCCCGAGCTCTGGGGCCCAGTGAGTCTGAATCTCGTTCTGCCATTTTCTAGTTGTGTAGCAGTGGGCAAATTTTGTAATCTCTTTACACCTCAGTTTCATTGTCTGTAAAATGGGGACAAAAGTAGAACCTATCTCATGGGACTGCTGAAAAGATGTGTGTGCGGGAACACATCTGGCACCATACTGTATATTACACTCTGTGCGCCATCTTTATATAGCATATTATCATATTATGCTCTGGCACTAAAATCTGTATTGCTACTAGAGGGAGTCTTGGTTATCATGGTTATTTTTTTATTACCAGGGATTGAACCAAGGAGTGCTTAACCACTGAGCCATATACTAGCCCCTTTTTATTTTGAAACAGGGTCTCAACTGGGTTGTGTGCCACTGTGTCTGGCTCATTGTTATTTTTGGAGGCAGACAGAGGTAATCCAGGGTTCATCTTTTAATGGCTGAGTGGTTGTAAGTAAACCATGCGTGGTCCCTGAGACTCAGTTATTGCACTTGTGAAATGGGAACAAATCTGGCCTCAGAGAACGGTTGTGGGGCTTAACTGACAAATGTGAAAGTGTCTAGCGCTGGGTGTGACGTGTGTTCCCCGAGTCTTGAAATAGTGTGATTCCTCTGTTAAAAGAGATCTTCAGGGACAACCCTGTCTGAGAGGAGGGAAGAGAGAGCAAATAAAAAGAGGGAGAAGAGAGAAAGCAAAGGTGACATGGTCCAGGATGGTCTCTGCAGGGTTTCAGAGAAGGAGAATAGGAATGAGATTGAAGAATATGAAAAGGGAAGAATGTGGAGAAAGGAAAACTGCCGAGAGGAGGAGCTGAAGGACCCACTGCTGCTGGATAAGGGATGACAGAGAGCTAGAGAAGAGGCAGGAGGGGTCGGTGGCCTTGGCTTGTGCCTCTCCTGAGTCTGTGGCAGGACTTGTCCTGGCCTCAACCACTCCTCCCCCATTTGCAGGAACAGGACCCCTCACCCCTGAACTTACAGACACAATCTCTGCAAGAGGTCTCTGGACCAGCTAGGATCTTTGGAACAGGTGGGAGAAAATCCTCTGGGCTGCAGGTTCATGTAGATTCTTAGTCCTTCATGGCTAAAGAAGATCCTCAAGAGACGTTATTTGAATTCCAGTAGTGACAGCGGGCCGGCCCGACCACCTCTAGAGTGGTCCAAGGACCTCTCAGGTCAGGGCCCTCACTGCTTATACAGAGGTATTCACAGGGTCCCTTTCCAGACCCATCTCCAGCTATGGTGGCTGCAGATCAGTCAACCTATTTTGTGCTCCATCTGAAGGACAGGATGAGTAGAGAGGACCCTTGCAGCTTCCTGGGCCTTGGGGGTTGAGTGGTCCCCACTGCCCCCTGCCCCCCCCCCATGTGTGCTCATCATTGCCTCCCAGGTTCAAGGGAACTCTTATCCTCCTCCTGTACCCCATGGTCACGTGGCTTGGGCTGGGACTATTCCCCAGAGCACAGCTCTAAACTAAGATGTATCTATAGGTCAGGGAAGGGGGACTGGAAATGGCCCGTAAAAATCTTGGGCTCCCTGTAAACACAGAGCGCGGGTCTTTGAAAGCCCAAAGCACTTTTATGTGCTAGTTAAAGGGCCTTCCTGTTGTGTTGCCCAGAGTTATGGGGAGACGGGTGGGGGATGGGGGCAGTGAGGTAACCTCTACCTTCTGACGCTCTGGGTTTCAGAGAAGGGAGGAAGGGAGGGCCGAGCAGCTTCTTGGCTGTCACTGTCCACTACCAAGTAAGGACTTTAGGCTCATCCTTGATGCTTTGAGATCCTGAACCAGCCCCCCTAGGGCAATGTTGCAGGCCAAAGCAGCAAGAAGAGTCCAGGCAGACAGCATCCCCAGCCAGGGAGAAGAGTCCCTGAGGCAGAATCAGCACTCTTGAGGCAGAGGCTAGGCTGCCCCTGTGGATCTGAAGTATGCAGAACTAGGACAGTGTGAATTCTTCACACTGAACAATTTGTGGGACAGATTGTTCCAAGGTCAGCCTTGCCCATGCCCTGTGTCTGACAACAGCATCAAGGGATCCTGGGGAGCATCTGCCCCTCCTCATCATGAATAGGAGACCATCAGCAGCCTGCTTCCCCTGACAGCCTGTAGGAGTATGATGTCTATGACTTTTTTTTGGGGGGGGGGTACTGACGATTAAATCCAGGAGCACTCTGCTGCTGAGCTACATCACCAGTCTTTTCTATTTTTTAATTTTGAGACAGGGTCTTATTAAGTGGCCCAGGCTGGCCTTGAACTTGCGATCCTCCTGCCTCAGACTTCACAGGGATTACAGGTGTGCACCACTGCACCCAGCAACATCCATGAACTTAAACTTTGAAAGCCCCACTAAAACAAAGTGTTCCTCGCTCTGGGAACAATGAGCTGTTCAATTTGCTTTTCTGTCTGGGAGAGATGGGCTCAGCCAGCCAGAGCGGAGAAGCCCTTCGCTGACTGCGGAACGGGGAGGAGGAAGCTGCCTGTCCTTGCTCATCCATGGCACCCTGTGCTCTTTCCCCTCAGGGCCTGTTGCAGCATCTTCTCCACACCACATGGCTTCTTCTTCCCCATTGTGAACTTGGTCCCTGTGGAACAGAACTAAAGGAGAGACCAGCATTCACTGGCCACCCCGGAGCCAGGCTCTATGCTGGTGACTGCATACCAAGTCCCCTTCCATCCTCTTGCCCTACTATATGGGAGACACTAAGCTCCTCTCATAGCTGTAATTCAGGATTTGTCAACCTCTTCCCCCTCATCCGTCCCTTTTGAGAATTAATATGTGTCTTTTCTCAGCTTTCCAGCTTACAAATAAGGAAGGCGAGGTCCGTGGAAGTTTGGTAATTGGGGGACGCTTCAGCTAAGTAGTGTCCAGCCCAGGGCTCTTTCCCTGTCCCTTCAGTTTATCTTCCCATTCTCCTGGTCTCCTTGTTCCATGATGCAGGGACACGGAGAAAAGCCCTGCTCCTTGGCTGGTGTCACAGGTATCTCAATAGGATTTTCATCTCAGACCTGTCTTGTCTCCGTCAAACAGCCTTGGCCCTTGGCCACTTGCTCTTGCTACCCTCTTTTGTACTTTCCCCATCCTCTCTCCATCCCGCCTGGGAAGCAGCAACCAGAGCCACGCACTAGGGCTCCGTACCCAGGCAGGAGGATTTCTACATTGACCTCACTATGACCCCCATTTCTGGCCTGCTGGCCCGAGGTGCCCAAGTGGCCTCAGGCCTCTGGCATTCTTCCCTGATGCTGCTAGTCATCCCTCTGCTCCTCTGTGACCCTATTGAGTTTCCCCAGGTCCGGCCAACCAAACACTGCCATATGGGGGAGAGTTACATTTCCTGTATATGTGTCAAAATATCTGAACGGATGTGAAATAGATCAGACATGTATAAAAATAAACTTTTACAGGGTGACTGACTGTTCCCCTCCAGGGGGAACCAGTGATTCACTCTTCATCTGGGGCCCAGAAACTTGGCTGAGGACTTGGGGACCACTCCCCACACGTGGCTCCCCAAGGCCATCCTGCTTTACTTCCTTGGGCTTGGGGCCAGCATCTCTCCTGGACGACATTGTCCCCAGGCAACCGTGGGTGTGGAAACTCCTCCCCAGTAGGCCAGCAATTAGCAAGACACCTTTCCGGGGCCCTAGCCTCCTGCTCTTTCAGCCCCGCTGTCCCTCGGACAATCCAAGACTCTACAACCCAGAGGACCCTCCCTGCCTAGTCTACAGTGGGACCACCTGGTCACCTCTTCTGCTCATCGGAGCACAATGATTATATCTCAGTTGTCCTTTTCCTATTATTATAAGTGTGAGCCCTGGGGGACAAAAGGGCAGGGGCTTTCTATCCTGGCACCCCTGCCTGTGATTACTATGACACCTTGTCGAAGTCATCTGCTTGTCAAGGTGGTCTTGTCCATCTCCCTGCTTCCCACTAACTCTGCACCTGACTTGGTTTGACTAAATGGGGCTCATTCTCTTTACTGCTAATGGTTTGTAGGAAGTAGCATCCTGGACCTCATATCAGGAATTTATCCCTAAATGTAACCTGCATTCTTTTGCACTCTCACCCCACACCCCCTTGCCAGAAGTGGAAGGTCAGGTATGAGTGGCAGCTGAGGAGGATGCACTCTGGTTTTGGACAGCTCAGGAGATTCCTGCATTGACCATTCTGTGATTCTGAAGCAGCTTGTAGAGAAGACCTTGGTGACCATTGATTCCCATCAGATCCCATTCTTGGGCTACTGGTTTCTGACTGGCAAAGAACCTTAGCCTCCTCTTGACTTCTGCCTTAGCTCAGCCAAGGGACCAGAGGGTCCTAGACATAAGGCCCAATGTCCAGCACACAAACTTAGAACCCAGAGGCTAGGGGCTCATTTCCATTTTTTCCACAGCCATCAGGGCTAGAAGGTTCCTTTTCCTTCCCAACTGTGCTACCAGCTGGCAGGAAGGGAGTTCAGAGTCACCTCATCTGTCTCTCACACCCTGCTTCCTGGCCCCTGGGCCATCACTGCAAATGCACCATCAGTAACAGCAACGGGCCTCTGATGAATAGCTGGTATCCTGCCAGGAAGCTGGTGCCCACAGCTTAGACTATACCCTCCATTACCTGCCCACTGCCTCTCAGGTCTTCTTTGATCACCTTAAGTCCAGGCCAATTGCAAATG